GTTCGTGTGAACGCATGTGCGTGCGCGTGTGTGTGAGTGTATGTGTGCGTGTGTGCACTGTCGTGTTTTTTTAGTATGTGTGTGTTAGTATGAGTGCGCGCGCGTGCGTGTGTGTGTGCATTAACTGTTGTTCGTGTGTGTGTGTGTGTACGGTTGTGCGTGTGTTTGCTTTTGTGTGTGGGTACGAGTGTGTGCGTGTGTCCACTCTTGTTTTGTGTTTGTGTATGTGCAGGTATGTGTGTGTGTGTGTGTGCAAGCGCGCGCGTATGTGTATGTATGCGCGCGCGCGTGTGTTTGTGTGTGTGTGTGTGTGTGTATGTGTGTGTGTGTATGTGTGTGTGTGTGCGTGTGCGCGCGTGAGCGCGCGCGCGTGTGTGTGTAGGTGTGCGTGTGTGTGTGTCTGTATTTATGTGAGTGCGCGCGTGTGTTATGCGTGTGTTCGTCCGAGTGCGTGTTTGTGTGTGTGTATGTGTGTGTGCGTGCGTGTATGTTCGTCTGAGTGCGTGTGTGTGTGTATGTGTGCACCCAGAAAACGGAGGCGGAGAATGGAGAGGTGGAGGTGGAGGTGAATGCAGCGTAGTATGTGGTGCAGGCGGAGGAGAGGAATTTGTGGTGAAGTCGGAGATACTGGAAACGGGGAATTGTGATGGAGGCGGAAAGAATAGTGGCGGCGCGTGATGGTGGCGGCGGAGGGAGCGGAGTTTATTGTTGAGGCGGATGGAGCAGGGTTTATGGTGGAAGCGGGGGGTAGCGGAGGTGGAGAACGAAGGCTTAGAGAGGGGTGCGGTGGTAGATGTAGAGGCGTAGGTGACAGAGGTGGTGGTGGGTGCACTGGAGTGCAGTAAAGTGGGTACCGCGTGAGGGCAAGTGAGGCTCATATAAAGGACAGTTGGTTAAAAACAGTGTGGCTGGTAAGTGGATATCGATACTGCCCCTAAAGATGTTACTACGAGGTTATTCATTTTTCCGAATATCAGCTTGGATACCTATTGGTATTAGATACAAAGTGAAAAGAACTTTTGTTTTGTGAAGGTTTCATCATAACTAACAAAACAAACCCAAACTCGGCATACCTAGTTCTACTAGTCCAGGTGTTACAGTGTTACCGAAGTACACCTTCAGGTCACTTCAGCAAGTCCGAAAGTAAGGACTCATCAAAACTAACAAAACGAGCCCAAACTCAGCACACCCAGTTACACTAATCCAAGATATCCACTAGTAATCCCGAATTACATTTTGAGGTCACTCCATCAAGACCGGAGGTAAGGTCTCAGGATAATATCTCATGTAATAGTTCGATTCTATAGCTATCAATTTTGTAAACGCGTCCTTAAAAATCTTGATTATGAAGATGTAGAAAACATGTTAACTGGTTTATGGTAAACACACACAAACACACAAGCGCGCGCGTAAACATGCACACGCACGTACGCATACACACACTCACACACGCACACTGCCGCTCACACACACGCACACACGTACACACACACACGCACACACACACACACGCGCGCGCGCGCACGCACACACGCACACACACACACACACACACACACACACACACACACACAAGCTCTCGCACGCAAACACGCACTCAGACGAATACCTTATGTCGCCGTTGCCACCACTTCCGCTACAAGAAGGGGCGTAGTCGAGTAATTCGTTAAAAAAAAGTCGTTTATTTCGACCACAAGGATCATAGATGTTAGTAATAATACAAATCTTAAAACTAATTTTCGTAAAACTTAAAACTATTTACCTAATTTTAAAACTATATATAAGACAGGCCCGATTAGTCAGCACGTGCACCATATGACAATGGTTCAGGTACTGACCTCAAACCTGTCAGAAAATGCCCTCAGGATACCATTGGAACTGGCCCGCACCCTGCGCACCAGAGATGTGCATCGTTTACGCATGGTGGTGTAGAAACAATCCACACGCGCATCCGCGAACATACCCGGCGCATTACAATAACGAGGCAGACCCAACAGCACCCTGAATGCATTATTGTATTGAACACGCATTTAATCTGTAGCTTGTACCGCCAAAGATACGAAACGGCAACGTCGCGGCTGCATTCAGCCAATCCGATCGTTTATCTTATCGTTTGCTGTGCTCTGATTGGCTCATTTAAATCGGATCAACATTTTCCGTAACCATCGCAAGGTGGATTTGTATATCGGATCAACTTCGGCCAACGCTAGCAAACAGTCTCGTGAGTGCAGATGTTGATCCGGTCGGAGCCACATTAGTTACCAGAGATGCATATTGGATCAACAAAAGGCGCCGGATCAACATGCGTTTTTGGATCAACAAAGTGCTCGCGTGAAGTCGCGTCTGATCAACATTTACCGTAAAGAGATCTCTATATATATATAGGGTCTCCTAGAAATCAGTACACCAACTTATTTTCAAGATTATTTGTATTTTCAATACAAACAACTTTTTCTAAGAAACCTTATGTCTCCGAGTAAAATAAGAATCACCTGTTCCATTTTATTTTTACTGTTTCTGGAAACAGCTGTTTGTTACTCTGAGATAATAGGTTTCTTAGTAAAATTTGTTATATTGATGAGTACAACGAATTCTCAAGGCAAATCAAGTTTTTTATCCATAATGTTCATAACATCATGTTTTTAGTTGTTTCACAAACTTATAGAGATTAAAGTACTCCTGGTTCTGACCAACTTTAACAAAGACACAATTTTACGTGGGGACCTACCGGTTAATCACGTCTAACTCCTTTCACATTCTAGTTTCGAAGTTGATTTCACGGGAGCAGAGTGCTCAAATTTTGCTCGAAAATTTGAACCACAATACACGATAGTACTCTCAACGGTTCCCGAGATCTAGCTTGGGCGTGCTGACGGGACAGGACGCCAGCAAGCCCACGGTTTTTAGCTCGCAGCGTCGTTCGTATTAATGCTCCAATTTATTTACTTGACTGTAGAGGTGCTCCATTTTTGCTCTAAATTCTGATATATTGAAAATACACCTAGCTCGATTGGGCTTTCTGGGGGGACGCGAGCCATACATTTATGTTTTCCAAACTCTGCCAAATGTTTGAATCAGTAAATATTTTTTCACGATTTCAGGGGTGGTTCCATAGTAAAAGTTTGTTGTTATTACTACTTATCTATTGCTTCTAAGTTTTAATAAAACTACTCAGCTCGTACACAACAACTAATGTCGCAAATAAACGCAATTTTAATTTAAAAAAAAGACTTAATTTAAAAAGTATTAAACCGACTCAAAAAAAAAAATAACAAGATTATGAAATTACTAAATTAAGTAACAAAACGAAATCTAAAGTAGGTAGGTACCTACCAAACAAATTAGGGCATTCCAATTTTTTGCAAAGCAAACCAAATTTATTCACTGTTTACGTGAATAGTTTTTGTAAACACTTGTAATTTTTGTTTAGTGTATTTAATTGTAGAATAACATAGTTCAAAATTTTTAATGTGGTTTGGAAATACTATAAAATTACCTATCTATTTGATAAATTATAATGGCAGAACATCGAAACTACTATAATTGTTGCGTGGATGGATGCTTAATGAGCAAACAAAAGGATTCAGATAATATCATTTTTTATGTAAGAATAATGAAACATACATTTATTCAATTTTTTTTGCGTGAATAAATACTTATAGCAAAAAAGAATTAAGAATTTATTTAAATTTTACAGAAGTAATACCTAAGTACTTTATTTCAAAACTTAGTTGAAATTTACTTCACTATCTAAGTGGGTAACTTACATGTCTTTTGTAAATAAAATATTTGAAGTTATCACAAAGCACTGAAATTAAAACCTTGTTTATAAGATTTTTAACTAATTAGAATACAATCAAATTTTATTTAGGAATCGTATTTCGGCTTTATTTGTTGTTTACACTACTTATTTCTTACGAGCGATTTATTAAATCGCGATTCGCGACGAGTGACCTTGCAAGTTGCATGCGTTATGCGTTATGCACAGAATTCGCATAGTAGCAAAAATATGTTCATTCGATCAGTCAGAATAGGTACCTTACCTATTTTACATACCATTTCGCAACGTATTAATTAATTAATTTATACTCTTTATTGCACACAACATATTACAATAACACACCAACCTTAATTTATAAATTTAAGTACAATTAGGTGGCCTCATCGCTAAACAGTAATCTTTTCCAGGCAAACCTTGGTAACGTAGTACTACATATTATTTATTCTATGCCTTGGTGAAGGAGATCCGTAAATAGAAGTGTGCATAAATAGTAGGTCATATATTAATACATATTATAAGCTAAATAAGTACTTAAAATTACATGTGTTTTTAATATGGTGCAATATCACTATATTATTTTTCTGTGCGGATATTATTGCCTATTCCCATATTTTACTTAATTAAATGTGGAATCTAATCACCATTGAAGATTAGCGTGAAATTGGAGAGGTTAGTGATTCTTATTCATACGTATATTGTAGTACAAATTGTTCTTGAATATTGAGTTCTTCTTGAAATTTATTGTATTCACTGCGATTGCGCGTGGCGAACGGCGATGAAGCAGTCATAGATGAAAGCGGGCTAAGATTGCAGTTTTTATTATTAAACCGTATACTTAAATAAAAATAAACACAAATAGTTTTAAAGAAATTATAAACTTCCAAATTATCGCTGTCGGAAATCGAACCCGGGAGTTCCCGGATTCCACCACAGCGCTTCAACGCGCCAAATCCTTTTCAATTTGACGACAGAATTTAAAAAAAGGAAGCGTTAACCGGTATTTTAGAGACGGCAAAAAAATAAATTATATTTTAAGTAAAACAATAATTGTAAATTAAATAAATTTTATTAATGTTATACATATCGTATTTTTTATGCCTTTTTGACAGCCCTAAGTAACCACGGAAAAAGAGCCGTGATTGCCGTGATGTAGAAGTGTAGAAGTGACTCTAGATATGTTGTATACCGTAGGGATCGCTCAAGTGCTTCAAGCTCCAAGATGGATGGTGGCGGAGTATTAATAGCAGTATCCCGTGAAATACCTTCTATGCGAATGTCTAACTGGGAAACTGATTGCGAAGACCTTTGGGTTAATATTGGATACAGAATAAATGGCTCATATTCCACTCTTTCTATCTGTGCAGTATACTTACCGTCGCCACCCAGATTGGAGCAACAAAGGGTTTTCGTAGATAATCTGGACAGTGTGCTGAACCATATTGATAATGTAATTGTGATGGGTGACTTTAATCTAAATTTTGTCGATTGGGAGTTTAACGATGACTGCAATCACACAATTCCTACTAATTATAATAATGATTTAGGACGCTGTCTGGTGGACTGCTTGTCTATGAATAATCTGTACCAATTCAACCATATAAGGAATTCGCATGGTAGAACCCTGGATTTAGCCTTAAGTAGTTTGCAATGCCTAAATGTCTCTCAACCCTTAGATTTGTTAAGTAAACTTGATCTGCACCATCCCCCTAATTGTAATATCAGAACTTAATTTTGAATACGACAAAAATCTGCTACCTAAGCCACGTGTAAAACATAACTACCACAAGGCAGACTTTGATTCGTTAATCCTGGAATTGAGTTGTACTGATTGGCTTACCATTTTTAAGGACTGTAAGGACGTCAATTATTTTGTTACTGAATTTTACAAAAAACTGAGGAGTGAAATTATCAATCACGTACCCAAATACACATCTAAACCAACTCGGAATCCACCATGGTTTACGAAAAATCTAATAAAACTTATAAAAGATAAGGAAAAACTTAGAAAACGATATGCCAAGTACGGCAACCCTTGAGATAAGTATGAGTACAACCTTCTTCGCGAACGATGCTATAAACATGTTAATATCTGCTACAATAATTACATAACAAAAATTGAGTCTAGCATCTGTAAAGATCCGGAAAAATTTTGGCGTTTCATCAAAGATAAGCGCAAAGGTCTTTCTGTACTTCCCGCTAATATGATATTGAAAGATTCGACTGCATCCTCAGGCACCGATATAGCGAACCTTTTTGCAAGTCACTTTTCTTCTGTGTACACCAATAATAGCGTTACCGATGTTTCTCATAGTCATGATATTGCGAACATGAGTAATTCCATCGTTACACTTGAATTGAGCGAGTCTCAAGTGTACAAAAAAATACAACACCTCAATGAAAAAAAGGACCTGGGCCTGACAACATACCACCCCTATTTGTGAAACGATGTGGATCCGTTCTTGCCTTCCCGTTGACATTAATATTTAATCGCTCTTTAAGCGAAGGAAAGTTTCCCGATGAACGGAAAAAAGCCAGAATTATCCCAATTTATAAGAAAGGTGACAAGATTGATGTTACCAACTGCCGACCTATCTCCATTTTATCGTGTTTTTCTAAATTATTTAAATGCCTTGTTTACCCCATAGTCTACAGCCATACTGAAAACATTATATCCGATTTCCAACATGGTTTCAGGCGTGGTCGTTCGGTAGAGTCTAATTTGTCTTCCTTCGTGTCCGCGGTAGCACAGGACGTGGACAGGGGACTGCAGGTAGACGCAATATACACAGACTTTTCAAGTGCCTTCGACAAAGTCGGCTACCAAGTCCTGCTGTCTAAACTAAGAGTAATGAGCATACGTGGTTCACTGTTGCAGTGGTTCGAATCTTACCTGGCAATGAGACCTCAGCAAGTGGCTATAGATAGATTTGAATGTGAAATATTTTTGGTCAAGTCTGGTGTCCCTCAGGGGTCCCACTTGGGTCCTCTACTCTTTTTGATATTCATTAAGGACATAGCTACATATATTGAAAACAGTAGTGTATCTATGTTTGCTGACGATCTCAAATTGAGTAGAGCGATCAAAAGTCCCGGGGATGCTGACCTTCTGCAATCTGACTTAAACAAACTCATGGATTGGTGTGCAATCAACGGAATGATTTTAAATCCTAACAAATGCTACCACATAAGCTACACCAGAAAAAGACGCCCCATCACTACTACCTACTCATTGGGTGACGTGACCTTGGCGGAGGTGAGGGAGATCAGGGACCTTGGTGTCTTGTTGGATTGTAAGCTGAAACTGACCGCTCACACTGATAATATCGTCAAAAAGGCGACTCGTATGTTGGGATTCCTAAAAAGAAACGCGAAAAGCTTCCGATGTGTCCAAACTAAGAAAGTTCTTTTCAATGCACTAGTACGTAGCCACCTCGAATTTGCAAGTGTTGCATGGAACCCAGTTTATAGTGCGTCTTCTCAGCGAATCGAAACGATTCAAAGAGCTTTTACACGCTACCTTGCCTTTCCAACTCCAGGCAAATCGCATAGACACCCCTATAGTCAGAGGCTAGCATTTTTCAAAATGACAACCTTACATGACCGACGTCTCATTGCAGACTTAATGTTCCTACACAAGTTACTGCATAACAATATCAAAAGTACGCACCTCCTCAATCACATTAAATTAGTTATCCCGTACAGATATCCTCGATATCCAATTCGCAAACTATTTAGCATAACTTGCCACAAAACTAATTTAGGCGCGCATTATCCCCTAGCCAGAATATGTAACACATACAATGAAATTATGACCAAGATACCGGACATCGACATTTTCAACGACTCTGCCCGATGCTTCAAAAAAAAATTGACCAATTTCTTTTCACCCTCTCAGCACACACTCATTCCTTAGTTAGTTTTTTTTTATGTAAGTTGTTTTGTATTCAGTGCCATTGTGGTGTAATGAGCTGCACATTACGGTAAATGTTGTGTATACCTGTAATTGGCAAACATATTTAACCATATACATTTGTTATTGTGTTGTTGTTAATGTTTAATGTGTTTTGCTGTTGGTGTACCTTATAAATAAATAAATAAATAAAAATAAATGTAGAAAGAAGAAGAGATGCAGAGTAATACGGACACTCGCGCGAAGCGATAAAGGTTTTTTTGGCTTGCGAGCGCAAATTACAATACAATACAATACAATACCCTTTATTGAACACTAAAAAATACAACATAACAAGAAACAAACAAAGAGAAAAACAAAAGGCGGTCTTATTGCTATGCAGCAATCTCTTCCAGACAACCTAAATAGGAAATAAAAATAAGTGAAAAAGTGGGTAGAGTGCACTATAAATAATATTGTAATCTATAAATATAAAAGAAATTTAATAAACATGCCGGAATTTACTTAATTGATAGACTAGTGATCATAAAACGACAGGAATAGATAAAAGGAGGAGGGATGATTTAGAACGAAAGATAATGTTTTTTAACTTGGTTTTTAAAGGAGTCTATTGTTTGAGCACGTTTTATAGTTGATGGTAAGGAATTCCAAAGCTTAACTCCGAGGACTGAAAAAAATTTATTGTAAAATGTAGAAGAGTGCAAGGGACATAGAAGGGAAAGGTTTTCTAAGGATCGAAGGGAAAGTTTGTGAGAGAAGCTGAAAAATTGGAAACGTTCTTTAAGGTAGGGAAGACTTGATTAAATAAAACGCAGTAGAGAGCAGAAAGGGTATGAGTATTCCGGCGAAGACGGATTGGAAGCCACTTGAGCTTAGTGCAGTATTCTAATATATGGTCATATTTACGAAGTCCAAATATGAACCTTATACATAGATTTTGGAGTCGCTCAAGTTTGTTAAGTTGCTCTTCGGTAATGTCTAGATAGCTTATGTCAGCATAATCGAGAATGGGGAGCAGTAAAGATTGGGTAAGCATAATCTTGGTGGAGATGGGTAAGAAGTAATTCATTCTTCGGAGTGAACCATAAGCTGCAAACATTTTACGAGACACTGCGTTGATTTGAGGAGACCAAGAAAGATTAGTGTCTATCAAGATTCCCAAGTTTTTCACTACATCCTTATAAGAAATTTGAACACCGTTAAATGTTATAGGGTTTAACCGAGTTTTATTTAATTTGGAGATTATTCTTGAACTACCAATAATAATAGCTTGGGATTTTATTAGATTAACAGTTAACCCATAAGATCGACTCCAGTCAAGAATACACGCTAAGTCCTTGTTTATATCACAAATTGCTTTTGGCAGATCCTCTACGGTTGTTTGTAGATATATTGCCCTGGGTTCCCTTTCTTCCGTGCGCCGGGGCTCCTTCGGCCTTTCTCCCCCCCATTTTTTTCTCGGTTTTTTTGTGGAGGTCTCCCTCCGGCCCTTTTGTCTACATTAACTGGCATGGCTCTAACTATTCTGGAGATCATCAGCATACAAGTGGTAGAGAGAAGATATTCTGGAGGTAATAGAATTTATGAAGAGTGCAAATAAGAGAGGAGATAACACGCCACCTTGTGGAACGCCAGCAACGGTATCAAGCCGCGAAGATATTCTGTCTTGTACCCGAACACGTTGGCGACGTCCATATAAGTAACTAAGAAACCAGAAAATTGCAGTTGGAGATATGTTAAAAGAACGCAGTACACCAATTAATATATCATGATTTACATCATTGAAGGCATTGCTGAAATCTAGCAACACCATTACTGTGACTTGGCGGTTATCCATTCCGAAACGTATGTCGTCATCTTATTAATAATAATTATGTAGGCCAATGTAGGCTATTAAACTTCGGCAAGCAGTCAACATCAAAAGAGTGAAACGTCTGTACGTAGTAGGTACTATTATTTATTCTGTGCTTACAGTGTGTACCTACAAAATAACAAAATGAATTGAAATCGCACCAAAATACCTTACAATATTTTTTAATTTTAATTCTAAGCATTTTAATTTTTAATAAGTATTGTAATTTAATTAAGCTATATTGTATAAAAACTATTAAATAATAATTTGATAATTAGTGCAGTTATTATTTGAATATGTATTTTGTATTTTTGAATATGACAACCATAAAGAAAATTAAATTATTAATTATTTAACTAAGCAATATTATTTTTTTATATAGGTAATGCAAACGTTAAAATATTTATTTTTTTATTTTAATTTAGATTACTTAACACTATCTATACCCTATAGAAAAATAAAATTATAGATAAAAACATTAATCTAAATTACAGTTATTCAGGTTATTATTTCTTATTATCTATAAAATTTTTATAGCATTAGTTTTATAGCAATTATTTTTGTAAAGTTTGTTTTCTTAAAGCATTGTCGGCTGGCACCGACTTCGAAAATTCTAATCTTTAGTAAATGAAATCCCGCATTCAGTTATTTTTTACTTTTTTTGAAGTTGGTTTAATTTTTTTTTAAATTGCTATTTTATATCGCAATTTTTAGTTTTAAGTTGTAATTATTACATATTAGAAAAACTTTTTCAGTTTTAGTTACACGTTTTAGTCAATGTCATAAAACTAGTGAACCAATTATGATGAAATCGTTATTATTTCCTAATTTGAAATAAATGTAAGCAAATAATCCTAAAGTTAAAATCAATAAAAAAAATCACGTTCCGATGACTAGTTTCGGAGAAATGTGTGGACAATACATAAATACATACATACCACACCCATAAAATTTTGTATATTTGTTTGGAAGCTCTCATGAATTATCATATCATATTCCAATAATATAAAATACATACGTGTCGAATTGATAACCTCCTTTTTTTGGAAACGGTTGAAGTTAAAACCGCATTTATGGTTAACAAAACATATTTTAAGACTACTGAAGCGACTTTTTAGTAAAATTGCATTGTTCCCTAAGTTGAAAGCTGCTTAATCTAATAAAAAAGAATATTTTTAATAGGATAGGCTGACAAACATGCACACAGTCAGTCTGATGGTAAGTGATTGCTGTAGCCCCCAGACATCTACATCAATCCTCAAATACCAATCAAAATTAAGATGCGTTGTCACCCGTTAAGGCTAAGGTGGAAAGCCTCGTTTCCAGCAAAAAGGGTCTCCGGTTCTTTACACTCACCATACGAAACACAGCAGAGTTTAGCTGCTATTATACGCTGGTATTCTGTGAGAGCGTGGTCCTTCCCCGGTCGAGCCAAACAATTCGTGCTACAAAAATACTACTAATATAGTTCCAGCATGACTCTCCACAACTTACCCGGTAGAATATTGCAATCTGGTTCATAGTTCATTAGAAATACCTGGTTATTTGGGATCTCCAGAGACCAAGGAAGGAAGGAAGGATCCCGTTTGCTCATGGAAATGCTCGAATTCGATATCACAGACCTACCTTACCTCGGCTCAGGAAGATATCGAATTCGATATCAAATACTGCCCTATGAAAAAATTATTTTTTCGTTTTAAACAAAACCAAAGACAATATGCAATACATAATAGTATCAAAGACAAAGATATGCTCTTTTATTTTAAAAATAGTACAATACAGTAAAGTTTATGCTAGAAATTCCAATGTTTGTAAACAGTCGTGTCGAAACCTGTTTCAACTTGATAAATTGTCTCACTTATAAAAGAATTGAGCTCCAGAGTCCCAATTACAGAGGTAAATTACATTGAAAAAATCCTAGAAATAAAATCTCATTTAACCTGGTTCGAAAAGTCCCATTAACAGAGGTAATTCGATGAAAAGTGCCGGGACCTCATTGTAGTTCTCAATAATGGAGGTTTCTCACTTATCCAGGTCCCACTTGACCAGGTTTCACTGTACATGTACAAACATGCATACAGACATTCATACATACTTAATTCATACAAATTATACACATGTGTTTAAAACCCATATATACTAACATATTATTCGAATATTATGCAATTCCAACAATATTACAAACATACAGGTCGAATTGATCTTTTTTTTTGAAGTCGGCTGAAATGTTTAATGGTGACTGACAGCTTATGTTATTAAATACCACTATTAGTTCCATTAAAATTTTAGTCACCCGCATAGTAATTTCAATTTACAGACCCTACATGGTGCAAATCTTTTAAAACATTTAAGCAAATACCATGAAAATGAGCACAAGGAAGTATTAATACTGAATAGAGAAAGTGACAGTTTGGCTAAAAACCCAAGATTAAGTACGGAGGATACATTACTTCAGGAGTGTACAAATTTAGTTACTGTTCACGGACTTCCATTGATTTTAATCGATGATCAGACTTTTCAAAATATTATATTAGCTCTCAAAATGTACTATGTACTCTTAAAGATACTGCTGACCAATTATGTTCAAATTTAGCCAATGAGTTGCGTAATTTACATATATGCCTCATGGTGGATGTAGCCTCCTTGTCGAATCGTAGTTTTATGGGAGTCAATGCTCAATATGTTAAGGATGGACAAATTGTTCTTAAAAATATTGCAGTAATTGAACTGTTTAAATGACATAAATCTGAACATTTAAAGGAAAGATTAATTTTCATTTTGCGCTGTTTTAGAATCCACAACAAGCAGGTTTATTGTATAACTACAGATAATGGTGCAAACATACTAAAAATAAGTAGATTATTTGCGGCCGAAGCTATTCATATTCAAAATAACAACGAAAATAATAATCCTGAAGAAGGCAATCAATTCAATAGCAGTTCCAGTCAATAAGATGATATCACACATTCTGATTCTGAATCGGATGTAGATGATGTCGATCATGAAACAGAAAATTATTTTAATGACCAAATAAGGCAATCTATATCACATTTTCAATTAAATATTGTAGATGATGAGGATAACATTGCCATTTCAGTAGTCAGATGCGCTGCACATACCCTACAACTCGCAATGCAAGATGCTTGCAATGATAATATCATACAAAGCGTTATAACCAGTGCCCGAGATATAATAAAGCGGCTTAGAACACCAACATTCTCTATAATTTTGAGAGAAAAAAGAAAGAAGAAACCTTCATTAGATTGCTCCACGATGGTATTCTACCATAGATATGGTAGAAAGTATTTTAAACTTAAAAGATATATGTGCAACAAGTGAACTCCTATATTTACCTGATGAGACCTGGAATGATCTAGATTTATTTTTAAAATCTATGCTTCCAGGAAAGAAGCTTACTAAAATTTTGCTAAAAAGAACAGCTTACAATGGTGTTTTTAAGCTATTGCATAGCTTCTATCGCGGGCCTTGAGCGCGGGGACCGAATCCAGAAATTCCGTAACGAAAAAACCTCACGCTCCCCACTCCGACGGGCACGGAGGTGCGGCTTGAAGGCCGTGCATTGTCTAACGTCGTTTCTTTTCGGCAGTCTTCGACACGGTGTTTGTGTGCGTGCAACTAGACGTATTGTACGACTCTACGAAGCTCGCACGAATCGAGACGAGCTGCTCCGAAATCGGACGAATACATAAGCAGCTGTTTATGAGAAAGTATATAGGTGTATAGGTATTTATGTACAACAGTGAATAGCTGTAGTTGTAAAATTTGTGTATAAAGTGTTTTGAATATGAATGAACAAAGTGCATTTATTATTTATTTATTTAATAAAAGAAAAAAATTGTTTTCTTATCGGTCACCACACTCAAAAAGTGTAACTTGAATTAATATCAAAGAAAAAGAAATACTGCATAAATAAAATAAATAAATAATTATAATTGCATAAGTTGATACAAAATGCTATGCAATAGCTTTACCGCGGCAGTCCCCGAGTGCCACACGTCTTTTTTATATCGAATGGATGAAATGTCAATTTGAACTGCAAAAAATTAACACTCCGTCAGCTAAACAGATTATTTGTTACATGAAACAGACAAAATGTTTTATTTAATTTTTAAAATTTAACATTCCATCGGCTAACGTTGTACGTAACGCACGGTATATTGTGTTACGCGTAACTACCTTACAATATGGGTATAACTAAATGTTCGACTTGTAATAAAAATATAACGAAAAAAGTTCTCGGAATAGTGTGTAGTAGGTGTGAGAAAAGTGTCCACGCTACCCATGAATGTGCGAAGTTATCTAACAAACAGCTGGCGACTATTCGTAACACTCCTGATCTCGAGTGGAGCTGCGCCGAATGCTTATGCAAGGCGTCTCGCAGATCGTCAGCATTTGTTTCTATTGACGAATCTGAAAAGAAACGGTGCCATCCCTCAGCAAGGACGTCAGCTCCAAATTACTTCATCAGATAACATCTGAGGTGAAAAAAATGTTTAAGAAAGAATTCGACGACTTCAAAAGAGAATTCGAAATATCGCTAAATTTCCTTGGCGAGCAAATATCAAACATGGAAGAATGTGTCAAAAGTCAGGAATTGAAAATTAAAGCGCTTGAAAACAAAAATACCGAACTTTTAAATAAAAATAAGAACCTGGAACTACGAGTGTCCTGTGTCGAGATCCAAATGCAGAAAATGGAACAAAAAGCTCTTTCGCATTCCTTGGAAATATCGGGGCTTCCTGAAGTGGCTTTGCAGAAACCTCAAGACACTATAAAATCAGTTGCCAATAAGCTTAAGGTTGAATTCGAAGCCGTAAATTCCACACGTAGCATGCCGATTCGTAAGGATCATCCGTGTTCTCTCCTGGTGGAATTAAAAACTACCGAATCCCGCGAACAATGGATTTCAGCGGCTAAGCAGGTGACTCCTACAGTTGGCGACATTGTACCTAACGCATTACACGAAATGAAATGAAAAAAAATATTTTTGTTCGTGAAGCACTTACTCCGCATAGCAAAATGTTATTGTATAATGCAAAGAAAAATCTGCGTTCAACATTTGAATTTGTATGGTGTAAAAATGGTAAAATTTTTGCAAGGAAAACAAAGGAAAGTAAAGTGCATTTGATTAGATCGATGTCTGAAATTATATCATTAACTAAATAAAGTGCCTACCAAACAAGTTATAAGTTGGTAGGCCTTTATTTATTTACTATATTTACGTCACATATAAATTAACTGAAATACAATTCTTTTTACTTACACCTAATAGTGAAAGATAGTGAAAGATATTTTGCCAAACTGCAACATAAATATATTAAAATATGATCAAAACAATATACCAGTCAATGTAAATAATTGTAGCATGTACTTTAAGAAGGCAACACCAGATAGTGTAGCTAAATTAATCAATAAGCTAAGTACTGATAAAACTCCAGGTTTTGATTGTATCAGAATGAGAGATATCAAGAGTATTGTCAATATTATTTCAAAACCCATAGCTAAATTTACAAATACCTGTATTAAAACAGAAATGTACCCCGATGAACTTAAGATGGGCTATGTTAGACCATTCCATAAAAAAAGGTAGGTTTGATGACATAAATAACTATAGACCAATTACTTTAACATCATCAATCGATAAAATAGTGGAAAAATATATCTGTAATCAAATACATGAGTTCTATCAAAAAAAGTAATATTTCAAGCTCTAGCCAATTCGGTTTCAGGCCTGGTAAGAACACTGAAATGCTATTATCGGAATTCACAGATAAAGTTAATTCATGGATGAATCGGAAATTACATGTTCTAGCCCTATTTATTGATTTTTCTCGTGCCTTTGATACTTTAGATCATAATAAGCTGATTAGGAAGTTAGATAATACAGGTATTCGTGGACCTCTTTTAAATTGGTGTAAAAACTATCTGACTAATAGAAGCTACCGTGTTAGGATTTGTGATAGCTACAGCACAGCAGTCAAAGTAACCGGAGGCACAGCTCAAGGTTCCGTACTTTATAGCCTATGTCAATGACATGAAGAAGATCTTTAAGCATTGTACTTACTATCAATACGCCGATGATACGTGTATGCTTGTGGCTGCTAAGGATGTAAATGATGCCCTGTCTCTGTTACAGGATGATTTTGATATATTAATTAAATGGTGCCACGATAGCTACACTACCAACACTCACATCACATACACTCACCAAACTTAAAGTCTCATAGCATATTGAAACATAAAATCATCGCACATGATCATAATTGCCTCCACCAACCTCAACTTAATTGTAAGTGTTCCACGATTGAATTAGTTACTTCGCATAAATATTTAGGCTTAATAATAGATCATAAGTTCAATTGGCACGTACATATAAATCATGTATGTGATAAGCTTAGAGCATTTTTGGCAAACATGTTTATAATTAGGAAGCGATTAAACTTTCCAGTCAAAATGATACTATATAACGCTCTTGCTGATTCAGTCATAACCAATGGGCTAAGCAGCTACGGACGAACAGATAAATCACACCTACAGTACATTAATAAACTACAACTTAGGATTTTAAATGCGATTATACCTATAAAAATTAAACTTGAGGCAAAAAAAATTAAAATTTTATATTTAAATTCTGTAAGGTACTCAATATCCATGATAAAGTCCAATATCAATTGTTAAAGGAACAATTCTTTAATTTAGGTATACAGCATACAGTTTCAAACAAAATTCAGACCCGCAAAGTAACTCAAAAAAAATTAATAACAATACCAGCCAAAAATAAATATGGTGAGCGCATCAGCGCATACATAATACCTCCCCTAATAAATGGTCTGGATAATATATTTCGAAGTGAACTTACCAAAGATAACATAAAATATAAATTAAAATGTTTTTACCTTAACAAATATTAGCTGTTATCCCCATTTTTGTAATAAATTGTATTATATATATAAATGTAGACGGAACGGCACACAACACAAACCTGCGTGGTTTTTCGCTGTGCCACATAGCAAATTTTTATAAAGTTTTATTTGATAATAAATTAAAAAACAATTGACAATAATGCTTTCCTAAATCCTATTTATTTAGATCCTAGAGTAAATTATACTCTCACTAATGAACAACAAAGTATTGCACAGAAAAATTTAATAAATTTATATATCCATATTCAGAAAATGAATTTAGCAAATCAGAAGAATACACATATTTGTTCAAGACTCGAAACGGAAAATATGCCATCTACCTCAAATGATATACAAGCTGCAGGTTCAAGTCAGTGCTTGGAGGATTTCTTAAATTATAGCTGTGTAGAAAAACATGTTCATAATATTTCAACATTAGTAAGAAGGAGCTATCCAACTGGTGAAATAACCAATACTCTCAAAGCATCCTTTAAAATATTTTTAGAAGAACCACTTCTTAAATCGTCGGAAAGCGTTTTAAAATCTGGGAAGAAAAACAGCTCATATATCCACAATTTTATCAATTTGCGCGTTGCATTAAGCGTAGCAGCAACGCAAGTTAGTGTGGAACGACTTTTTTCATCGTTAAAGTTTATAGTTTCCGATTTGAGGATGAATTTAAAAGACGATATCATAGAGGATATTTTATTTGTGCATTGTTACAAGTTATATCGTTAACTGAACAAAGTACATCATAATAAGTAGAAAAACTAGGGTTAACTATCCAGTCATATCATCAGAATGTTTATTATGGTAGTCATTATACATTCTTAGCGATTACTACATTTGCAAGATCGAACAATAAGATTTGCAATTTAACATTTACATTTTTTTAAATTCGCCCCATTCATATTTACTCCGCCCCATTTACACTTTGGAATTTTTTTTTACAAACTGAAGCTAGTTTGTAATGTTAATATGTTTAAAGCTAGTTATATTATAATTACTTACATGCTGTTTTACGTTTATTTTCTTTGTTTGAATCTATCATTACCTTAAGTACCTACTACCTTATTTTTTTGATTGTTTAAAAATCGCTAAAAGTTGTGTTCATTTAAAATAATTAAAAATTAAATAACTACCTAGGTATCGTTTTTTATTTATTACGATTCCCTGCATTGGTTAATCAGTTAGTTAAATTTGTAATGCAATGTATCAAAGTATTCCTTATCTCATTATAAGGTTAAGCCCTGCAGGTTATATTCTTTCCGTGTCCGTTTTCTTTATTTGATTTGTGTGGTAATTTTTCACTTCGTTCAAAAAGTTTAGTATTTTGATGTAACATCTTGTTCTCATACATGCGTTAATATATTTTAGCTCTTCAGTTAGTAATTGGGTAAAGTATTCATTCCTTCTATCGTCGATGTAAGTAGCACAACATTCAGACTTAGAATTCTTAAACGTGTTTTATTCTTATCTTCTTTTATATTGGACCTTGTAGGCCGTAACAGTGACGGGGATATTGGACGATTATTTGCTTCTGAGTCCATTATATCAGGAGTAATGCTTCGCTTCATACCTAAAACTAAAAAGATATAGAGACCTTAATAATTCAGTTTAGCAGATTTTTGTTTAACCATTATTAGGTATTCTAATTAGATCAAGATCGCGCTAGCGACAACTTCAGTAACGGCCGGTTTCAATATTCTATCTATCTGTGGGTTTGGTTACAGATAGGTATTTGACATTAGTTCCATCAAAAATACGTTGAAATTCTACCTCCAGGCTCAAGTAAGAAAATTCATCCACAGATAGATAGGATATTGAAACCAGCCGTTAGCCACGCAACGAGTTTTGATACAGTTTTCACTATAGTTTAGAGAATGTCTTGCGGAAGGTTTATAAATTATTATAAACATTAATAGTATAAATAAAAAGTAAAAAAATACGTGTGGCACTCGGTGACTGCCGCGGTAAAGCTATTGCATAGCATTTTTTATCAACTTATGCAATTATAATTATTTATTTATTTTATTTATGCAGTTAAATCTTTGATATTAAATCAAGTTACACTTTTTGAGCGTGGTGACCGATAAGAAAACAATTTTTTTCTCTTATTGAATAAATGAGAAGTTAATGTTGTTTAAAATATTTTTAATAACTTACAATACATGTAGGTTATTCAGGAATTTTTATCATTGAGTTAGCAGCTAGTGTACACGCACACAAACACCGTGCCGAAGTCTGCCGAGTGCCGAAGTCTGCCGAACTAAAACGACGTTAGACGATGCACGGCTTTCAACGCCACACCTCCGTGCCCGTCGGAGTGGGGAGCGTGAGGTTTTTTTCGTTACGGAATTTCTGGATTCGGTCCCCGCGCTCAAGGCCCGGGATAGAAGCTATGCAATAACTTAAAACTTTTTTAAAAACAAGCGTTTATATAAATGCACTAAAATAATAAAATTTAAACTTTTACTATCAACTTAACGTCATTACACAAAGTATATATTGTATGTGTATATATATTTTTTAAATTATTTATACTCTTTTATTGAAAAATAAACACATAATTCACTCACGTATTTACTGGTGAACATATAGCCTGAATTTAATTAAAATTGATTTTATTACATTCGAATGAAACAGCTTTTTTCACTTAGTGGGCGTACCTAAAATTGTAGATTTTGAGGAAACTTTGCGATCTTTTTCTATCGAGCCAAAATGTGTCAATCGTGTGCGTGTCGTTGTTTCGTGTTCACTAAGAAAAATTTTTAACTTTCATGATGAATTTAAAAAAAAATTGTTTTTATAATAATTGTACCTATAAAGCGTGAAAAATCTGCTTCTGGCGCCCACATCACCTTAAGCGGCTACTTAAAAAGCATTACTTGACTCAATCGTTTGAACACCGTTAGGATAAATTATGTGTTTATGTATTTATTGTATTTATCTGCGTTACATTATTGTTTAAGGCATAGGTGTAGGTAGGTATTATTGGTGTAGGTATGTACATATTTGTGTAGATATGTAAGTTCTTTTATATATTTATATATATGTACATAATGTATATTAT